GATTCATTAGTTAGGACTTTATCATTAACTGAACTCTAATAGAAACTCTGCTGCAATGATATCCAGTAATTAATGAGACAACATTGTTATTTGAAACTTTTTACATGTAAGAATGAACAATTGTGTCAATTTGTTCACTTACTAGGATACATAAAGGCACTGATAAAAATCTTATGGAAAAATTTTCCCTAAGAGAAGCTGCAGTGTAATCACCATCATGCTGGGAAAAAAAAATAAATAAATAAATAAAAATTAAGACATCAGGGCAAACATAGGTAATTTTTCAAAAGGTTTTTCAGAAACAACACTGTTGACCACCCCAGTATGTTGTGTTTTCCTTGCCTAATTAGATTCACAGCCTGTACTGCAACCTCAAACCCTTAACAAAAATGATTCAGTTGTTAAATTGAATAGCACATCAGAGGGAGAAAAATACCATTCACTATAGCAAACTCTGTTCAAAACCATAATTTTCTTTTGCCTGTTTGTGAAGAGACAATATAGATGAAGCTTTTTGTATCAGTATTTTGCAGATATGGTTCCTTTGATTAGGTATTAAATCTAATAGAATCAAGAACTTTTCAGTATTAATTCAATTTTTTGAACTGTTCCCTAAGACTGAATCATCAACATACATTGTGAATTCACAGTTCTGATTAAATGGCACCAATATTTATGTTGGGCATGTAGTAAGTCATACTGGAAATCTAACACAAAGGGACTATTTTTTTAAGAATTGACCAAATAGCTAAACCAAATATATTACCATTCACACCTGCTACTGCATTTTTTTCTCCTCCTTTGATTCATGTCAGGTTTTTTTTTTTGTTTTTTTTTTTTTTATTAGTACCATAGCTCTCCTTGATGCTGCTGCTGCTTGCTATTGAAAAAAACAGTGACCCTGATTATGAACCACTGAAGTAATACCATTGAGTCTGAACATTGGTGCTGCCTACCAACAGTCACTCACCTTCCATTAAATGTTAGTAGGATATTAGCACCATTTAAGGGATGGTGTTTGAGAAAAGTACAGATAATTATGAAGGTAGCACATGATGATCCACAGTTAAGTTTGGCTTCCATGGTAGTATAATCCCCTTTCAATCTGTTTGTCAACCTGTCATTTTTGGAGCTTGAATTTGCCCTGCTTTCTGTCCATTTTAGCTTGAAATATGTTTAAAACACTGGCTACTAAATAACACACAGATGAATACAGACAGCTGAAAGAGCTGGGAATAATAAGTAGGGTTTCGAATTGTCTGTCCTGCTTATTGAATTTTTTTATTCAATTTTGTCTTAAATGTGTAATGTGGATAGATCCTGTTATTGGTAAGAAATAAATAATATAATAATATAGTAATGCTGAATTAATGAATGGAAGCATTCTCAGGATGTATAAGAGTTTCTAGAGCTACTCTGTGGTTCATTCTTATTTATCTACAGATGTCTTTTTCAATCCAGAAGTATTTGATATGGTTTAGTATTCCTTATTCACACTATGATCCAGTTAAATGCTGTTTATTAGGAGGGTAGAGAACAACATCCCTTAGGACACAGGCAATTTATGATTAGTAGGAATATTTGGTCTACAAAGTTGGTAATTGTCCTTGTATTCCTATAATTTAACTGTAGAAGTGAGCCATACATGCTGTTTAGTGGCATCAGAAGCCAGATCTATTCTGAGTTTTGTGTAGGGAGGCTCTGTTCCATTACATGCAGCTCCAGTGGGTGAGTTGACTAAACTGTGTTTAGTTGTGCATGCTAGCTCATCTACATGGTTAATTAAATTATCATTCCTGAGCTCAGCTGAAGTCCACCTTTAGATTATATGAAATGTGTTATTGTGCTTTGATCCCACTTATATTTTTTTGGTTGGGTTATACTCATCTACATTAGCAGGTGGATGAGCACGTTACCAAGCAGCTCAGTAGATCAAAGTGACTGCTGCTGATGTCCCCACATTAGACTATGCATGGTCCAAGGGCTACATCAGACTCAATTTAATTTGGTTTGTTGGACCAAATAACCCCTTTATGTGGTGTCTCAAAACTGTCTGAAGAGCTAGTGCTTGTCTCAGACCCTTAGAGGTCAGGGTTCTTTCATACACACTTGGAACACAGCTTCTGGTCTGGTTTTGGTTCTTCAGAAAGAAATCTGGTTTGTATACATTAAATTGACTCCAAACCAGTATGTGGTATATGCAGACAGTCAAGGGTTTAGCTTAAAAAATGTCTCTCCTACTCTGAATTTAAGTGCACATTCAAGCAGAGCAGCTGACAGGTGTTGAGTTGTTGCATCCTCCCTCCCTATAACTGATTGTGTGAGTGCTTTACCATGGTGTCCAAATGAAGTCAGACTGCAGATTAACGTGGTGTTTACAGTCACCCTTTAGACTGCCTTGATTTAAGTAAGCCAGGCTTCAACCACTGGCCACAGCTCAGAGTTACTTTAAGAAAGCAAACTGCTGTTTCTCAGACATTAGTCACTGGTTCCTGGATCAGACAGTGCTTAAAGACCAACAATGTGAATGGATATAGATTGTGCACACCGTGTCTGTCATGCACATAAATCTGGGCATGCTAAGTGGGTGCTCCTCAGCTGACATCAGTATGCCAGCTTAAGTGAATGATCCACACCTATTGCATCATATATCATAAACTCCCATGACCAAAATACTAGCCACTGACCTATCCTGTGCAAAATTAGTTGTTTACTGACTTAAGCAAGTGCCAGGGCTGGTTTATGTGCTGATGTGAGGCATGGTAATGTCTTGCTAGTGCAGGGTCAGGGTGGTGCTGATTATGCAGATTATTATTCAATTAATCTCATTATATTCAATATGCATTCAGTTTATTTTCTATTAGACAAATTAATAAACCTTAAGGAAAAAAATATGGGCAATTAGTTTCTCAAATAAGTAGCCCAACTTTCTTAATATGGGTACTGTAATCTAAATTTTTTTTTTTTTTTCCTGTTGGAAAGATGGAGGAACTAGGAACACGGGAGTTAAAAAAATTCAGCTGTAGTCAGCTGAAGTGGCCTACTCTCCTAACAGATTATGCTCACTGAATATCCTATTTTATAAATGGCTTCCACATATACGAATGAGACAGTTTTTTAAAATATAAAAATTCAACTTGAACTGACTTTTGTTGGTTTGTTTTTTATTGACAGCCAGGTTTAATATTTTCAGTTATGTATGAAATGTCTAAGTTCAGGATTGAATGTCACCAATTCAGGGAATAAAGCAAAATGGCGAAACATTATCTGCCACCTTCCTGTCTGCCTTCAGATTTGCAATTTGCAAGCAGCATATCTGACTACATCCAGCTGCTAGACTTTATTATTTCTAGTATCTGATACCTGTCTCAGTCTGGTTGTATGTGCAAGTAGCAGTGAAAATTGGATGAACACCTGCATTTGGGAACAGGAACACCTGATGGTCAATACCACAGAGTTGTTAGGTTACTGCTGTCATGTAAAATGTGTGCTAGAACAGGTAACCATGACTAATGCATATGCACTTGAGCAATGCAAAAAAGAGATGGTTTTTGTTAAGCATGCGAGCATTTTGGTTTTTCACGCTTGTGGTACGTACACTACACTATTTGTTGCATCACAACTGAAATAGGTTCCATGCACTTGTGAAGGTGAACAATGCCCGCAACATTTCATTGGTGTGTTGCTAATATGATACCAACTGCTTGTAGTGGAAGTCATTTCACATATCCCTGGATGCCCTGAGAGCTCCTTATAGAAAAACTACTCAGAGAGCTAAGGTTGTTTTTGGGGGAGTGCTGAAATTTCCTTTGTGTGAATTACATTTACTTGTGTTGTCCTTTTCATATCTTACATAACTTCATAAAACAACCAGAAAGAGCATCATAAAAGTGTTCCTAATAAATAAAACCATTGACATTAAGTGTAAAAGAACAATGAATACTTATTGAGCCAGCTTTTCTTGGATCTTTTCCTGTCACATTGACATGGAATAGGGATAAGCTGCACTGATGTGTGTGGCATTTCAACACCATAAATCACTGGTTAACCTAACAAATCGAACAGATCTGGTTTTCAAAAGTGGAGAATCTGGCATTTCTCCATTTCAATAGCCCATGTCTGTTTCCTTTAGTGATGGCTACAGAAAGGTAAACCACTCCAGTTTTTTGTTAAGTGGCAGCTAATTCAGGTTTTGTTTGATCTACCTCACCAAAGAAATTTAGCTTAGGTGTCATATTTTGGGAATGACATTCCTCAATTTAGTACTCCCACTAAACAGAAAAGCACAAACCTCTGGTGGCAGATGAAAGGCAGAGATTATATCTTGAGATAAGAACAACTTACTGGAAGCAGTAATGAGATGGGAAAACAATACTAATAAGAAAAATACTTAAAGAGAGGGTGATGTACAGGCAAAAATTACTGACTGATATGCCCTACGCCAAGGCACTGAACAGTGGCCGATGAGTTACCCACCCAGACTGTTCCCCCAACCCAAGCCACTCCCACGTTCTTCCCAAAAGCATCCTGGACTTCCTACTCCCAAAGATGGCAAAAGGTGCTATAGAATAACATCCAGACATGGTCATGGAGCTCTAGGTTCCAATCCCTCACAGCTACTGTTAAAAGTTAACTCAGTCCTGGCCCAAACGAGGATACTGGGTTACAGAAAGAACTTCTTAGAGAATAATAGGAAATAAGTGGATGCAGAAGGGAAACACCAGTCTTGCAGGGCAAAAGCGGTTACAACTTTATTATTTTTTCAGCATTGTTTTTCTAATGGAAAATAGCCACTAAAAGAAACAATTACCTACTTTTTGGGTTTGTTTTTATGAAAAGAAACTGATACTAAAATCCCTTCATTTTTCAATAACAGAACAACATTTTGTAAGTTTTTTATTCTTTTAATCTGTCATGGAATAACAACATTTTTGTGACAGCTTTTTTTTTTTTTTCTGTGGCAGAATTTCACATTGTAACAGTGAGAACATCAGTAAAACTTTGTGTTTAATTAAATATTGTTTTAAAAGGATTTTAAAAGCATTTCTGTGAGGTCAAGATGATTTAATTTTTGTTCTGTTTTGAATTCCTATCTACTACTTTAGTATAAATATAGATTCAAAGTAAATTTTTGTCTGGCACAATAATGTTAGACAAAAATAGCTGTTTAGACTTATGAGTCTTCTCTTGTTTTCCAAAGTTTATTTGAAGAGAAAACAAACAAATATTTTAATCCAGAAGGCTAGTATTCAGACACACAGACATACAGGTAAATAGGGCACATTGTTACTACCCTGTGTTTTGTTATTCCTACCTTTGTTTCATCTAGCCCAGAAGAAGATGCAGGAGTTGTTTGGATTAGTGCATGTCAGGTATGACAACTGACACTTTGCAAAGCATTTCCGTGCTGTTATGATTCATTGCCTTCTATTTCAAACTCTCACACTGACTTGCTCTTACTACTCTAACATTTGTCAGACTGGCTCACAATAAAGACTACTGGCTCAGTAGTCTTTTTTTTGCATACCCCAAGAAAGTAAAAGCAATTTTTTTCTGTTTATTCAATTATTAAGATCTGTAAATGTTCTTAAATGTTGATCAGGAAAGCTGGTTTTTTTTCCCCCCTCATTAAAGAATATGTTTCTCCTCCTGGCCAGCTGATCAGGCTAATCCTTAACCGCCTCTGCTACGGCTCATCAAGACAGACAAAACATTTTATGTCTGCATTAAGCCAGACTCCACGAGCTGTGTAAATGTAAATGTGCAATTTTGCATGCAGCTGTCTGAATGTATTATTCTTATTAAGCAAGCTGCCCTCTTTCCTGGGAGTATGTTGTTGTCACTTGGAAATGCAGTTACATAAGAGAGTCCTGATACATCACAGAAATAATATATCATGGAAAAATTAGAATTGTCTGCTTCTCATCTATTCCTTTGCGCTTTTTTCCCCTGTGGCATTATTCTTACACTGAATTTCAATAGGACTTTAATAGTAGCTCTAGTAAATAATTTGGAGAAAGGGCAGAATCTAATCATTTGGTTGGTCAGCAGTGTAACTGCTGGTTTCTAGATGCATGCAGAAGGTCAGAATTAGGCCCAGTGCTTGCTGCGTCTGCACAGCAACTTTAAGCAACAGTTTTATCTGGTGTAGGAAGAGCCTCGATAGACAGTGGTGTCATTTGTTCTTGCCGTGTTTTCATGTGCGCCTGGACCTGCCTTACTCGACCTTCCAGCCGCAGAGTCCATTCCTGGCGAAGTCTGCAAAGAGAGTACAAGTGCTTAGCAGTTATTGAGCCAAATCCTTCAAATGTATCCAGGGCTTTTCAGCAGGGCCGAAGCTTTCCTCTCTTTCATCACCAGAGCACTTGTCCTGTATTTATTTACCAATTACACATCCCTCTAGCTTGCTAGATTGGGAATGCAGGGGAGAAAAGGATAGTGCTGATACTATCAGTGGTTGACATTGCTGGATTCCAAATGAGTCAAACAACTGCTGAAATACTGTCGCTGTGAAGAACTCTGTTTTTCCCTCTGGGGTATTCTCAAAGCCACACAGATGTACTGCCTATGCCGTAAGGTCATTCAATGTGTAAATTAAAAAATACAGTTTTTCCTCCAACCCCTCAAGTTATGCTGTAAAATGCTGTGGAGAAGGGCAGGTTGAACTTAAAATATGTATTTTTTGGTAAAAAACAAAACAAAGACAACTCTGTAGACCCTGTAGGTGTTAAATGAAAGGAATTGATGTCACATGCAAGAGGAGCCACATAGCTCCAAGACACTCGCATAGTAAAAACAGAAGAGAAAATCTCTAGGGACCACTGTAAGATATTGTTGGCTGGGTTGTTTTCAGAAGGAAACGTTATGAAACACCTGACCCAGCAATGCTGTAAGATTAGATATTATATGGTGATGCCAAATGCATCACAGAATATATGGGGTTTTAAATTACCTTTGGTGTGGTGAAAAGAAGAGCAGCCAATGATTTCATCGGAGAATAACTCAGCAGTAGCTCTTTCTCATGGGTGCTTGTGTTATCTGATTCTGAGTTTGATTTTACATTGTGTTTTAAACTACTTAGTCTTCAATATTCTTTTGTGCGTATAGATAAGCCTCAAAAGAGAGGTTCAGTGTCAAAAACTGAGCACTAGCCTTTATGTAAAACCACAACATTCTCCCGAGTACCTCTTACATGAGGTAGTGGATATGTATGTTTTGTATTGATAGTGTCCATTACCCCCTGAAAGTATCACTTTTTTCAAATTTTAGAACACTTCGTGAACACTCTGGACTTTGACTGGGCAAGTGACTTTGAAGGAACTTGCTTGGGTCTATCTCAGTTGTGATGGGTCAGTTAAGGCGTATTGAATATGTAAGTTAACATATATTCAAGGCTCTTTCATGACATTTCTTCTCTTCAGAGCAGAACTTTTAACATTTTAAACTTTGTGAAGTCAAAAATATTATCTAAGCCATGAATTGCATTTTATTTGCACTGTCTTCTCCTAGTAGTCTTTTGTGATCTAAGGTGATAAATGTTTCCAGTGAAGCTGAGCACTTTCATCATATATGTTGTTTCTCCAGCAATTTTGTAATTGGGATTTGAGAATACTACTGACTAGCTGGAATAGAACGCAGGAAGAAAGATTGTCTACATCTGACTTTTTTGAGATACAAGGCCTGCCCAGACCTTAATTTCCAAGTATCTAAATAATGACAGTATTTCCTTCTTGGGCACCGGGGTCAAAGTACCTAGAATTTTTTCCAAGAAACAGCCCTTTAGCAGGACCTTCCAATTTGCTGAAGTCAAATTAGTTTATGTGAATGTCCCAGTTTTGAGAAAAGTTTATGCAGGTAAACATTTGTTAACTTCAGGAGGAAAGTACAAAAGAAAACCACATGAGACATGGTATTTCTTGTCCTCTATTTCTGCCCATTAATAATTAGGGGATTCACTTATTGTGCAGGAGACCCTGGTTCAAAGTTCTGAGTTTTCACAAGTTAAACAAATATTTGAAGTCCACCACACTTGTGCAGAGTTATCTGTACCACAATACAGCTATATAGCTCTCTCTGTAGGAAATCCTTGTTGTTTTATACTGCTTTGTAAAGCTCCCCCCCTCCCCAAACTAAAACAAACAATAAACCCTCAAAACAACAAAAATCCCACAACATTTTCCATTGAATGGGAAAATCTCATTGTTTCATTTTTACCTTTGGGTTTATATGATGTGAAGGGCTGTTAAACATGACAAAGGTGCCATGGGTTTTTTATTCTACAGAGTAGGTGGGTGGTTGTCCCTTTAATGTAATACTGTTTTGTTTATTTGTGTAGCTTTACCAGTTCCAGGTAAAATTCCTTCTATCTTCTGGCTGTCACAAGCCATAATTCCAAAGTGCTTTATTTTTTCATGGCTATGCTCCAAGGCCTTTGAAGAATGCTCATGAGGTTTAGGGGTGAGGGGTGTCTGAGTTTCCATGCAGAAGAGCCATGGTAATATGAGACAAGCAGCTGTGAGAGGAAAAGTGCCAAAGATCCAGAACACAATCTGTGCTATGAATAAAGCAGTACAATAACAGGTTACCTTATTTTAAAACACGTGATGACATGCCTTGCTGTCTTGTGGAAAAGAAAAAATGCCACTTACTTGTTCAGGGCACTTTTGCTTAGCCTAGACTCTTCAGCCTCTTGTTGCTTAGTTTGCTCTTGGATGACCTTTTCCCAGAAGTTCTTCAGCTCTTCCGCATCATGACCACCCATCCTGTGGCATCTAAAGTTCGTATGCTTGCTCATTTTCTGAAAAGCAATTTGGAGGTCAGAGCAGTCAAAAGTCTGACCTGAGGCAGATACTCTGTTACTTATCCTCTTGAAATTTCATTCTCAGGAAGTGCTATTAAAATAAATTATGTCACCCGAAAAGAATAGGTAACTGGTGTATAGTCTGCCTTGAACCAAAATATAAGGCATTGAAATAGGCCTTGGGTGACAGTTGAATGGCATAACAATATTTTTGCTACTGAGTAATGACTGTGCATGGTGCAGTTCACTGAAATATTGTGGATGCCTCAGTATGTGTGATATTTTAAGTAATTTTAGAAGAACTTGTGAAAAATGCTTTCAAATATAGTGCCATTGTCACTGCAGTTCAGACTAGATATGAAGGACTTTCCTATTTTCTATTGTCCATATTCTTAAAACAGATCATAGATGTTTTATCTCAGGGAAATGCATTGCTCCTAAATGATTCCTTTTGCTACTTCAAATGACGTCATGGACAAAATATGCAAGGGAATTATGAATCTGAATTGAAACACACAGAGTGCAAAGCCCTGGGGAGCTTGTTATGGTCTTGTTCTATATTTTATCAAAAGTCAGTCTTAAATACTGTTAAAAGTAGCGCTCATTGAATTACAGGGATCAGTTCCAATAAATGATAAGAATGAAAGAAAATAGGTGACTTTGTCCCTGCTAAATGCATGTTATTGAAACATTAAAATTCATTAAAATTCTCATCACGTCTGATGTCCTTGCTGATATTACTGTATTGTGTTGGTTATCAGATTGTAATGGTACTTTGAAAAGTTAAGCTCTGTTGCCTATTTCCTGAATCAGCCTCCTCCACTAAGTCCCACCAGGAAGTAGGAGGATACAAGAAAGAAAAACCCCAAAAACCTAAACTACAGGGTTTTCCATGACTAGATCAGCACTTAATTTGAGGGTTACTATAAAATAAATCCCTTTGCTTCCTTGTGTTTACCTGTATTCTGCTATCATTAGATACTTTTGCCAACACTCCACTCTGTAATGGTGATGAACTAATGCCTCATAGACCCTGATAGGGACTTGTGAATCTTCTTCCTTGATGATTTCATAGCTTAGGAGCTATTCTTGATAAATACAACAACGGCTATGCTATGCTAATGTAGGCCAATCTGAAGAAACTTTTGCTTTGTACAATGCTGTAAAGTGGAAGATCAGAGTAAACGTAAAGGACAGTCAGATGTAATACAATTAATGCAGATTTCTGGAAGGTTACTATCAAATACAGTATTTGAAACTCCTGGCACCTTAAAGGTAAGTTTTAAGCTAAGTTCTGGGCATCTTCCTAAATTGAATATTTTAGATTTGTCACAACATTAATTAATAATTTTTTTTAAAAAGACCTGTAATAACAAATAATTTATCCAAACTTGGTGCAAAGTCTGGCTGGAATGGAAAAACTGTTTAACAAAAAGAAAAACCTTTTTGAGATACATTCTTTTTCCATTGAAAAGTCCAGTTGCTTAAAGAACAGTACAGTCCAACTGGAGTGATAAGCATGATCATGTAATATAACCTCCTGTGTGATGGAGTACCTTGAGTTGTTGGAACACTGGTCCTCTTCACAGCAAGGACAGCAAGAGCTGCACTATCATGAAAACAACCAGATACTTTTCTCTGACACAAACAGCATTTTTCTAGTATTTCCCTTGATGTGGACTGGTCATGCTGTAGATGTAGCACAGCGTGATACAGCAGAAATTGTTGCATTGGTGCGGGTAGAGCAGTTCTACTAACACCTTTTGCTAAACCTGTTGTGTTTGGCAATGAATATGGTCTAAATGGGAATATGGGTAATCTTAATAAAGTTTTGTCTCACTCTTGCACTCCAAAATAATAGTATTATTTAAGGCTTCATCTTGCAAGTAAATATGCATGTCACGGATGCACTGGAACATGCCCTATCTGTGTCCTAATTCCAAAGGCCTTGAGCAGTGTTAAAATAAACGCTCTGGTAATAGCTTGTTACAGCGAGTGATGGAATCTGATTATTTCATCATTCCTGGATCAGCAGGTCACACAGGTCTTCACACCATTTAGAGGCTCTTCTATCACTAGCAGCTGCCCACTTGACACTCTATAGATAATTATCCCATTGCCTTAGAAGCCAAGTGCAAGTTGCTGACAAACTGAATCAGTGTGCCCTCCAAACCCTATTATACTTTGCCTCATATAAGAATCTGCCATAACACATTAACCTTTAATTAAAGATTAAATTTTTATGATTATTAAACTTTTAGTTGATGTTCTCCAAATGGCAAAAAGAGGGTCTCCAGTCTTTATCTGCGATTTAAATTGGTTAGATTTTGAGGGGGTGCATGAGGGTTTTGACTGCCTTAAGCTTTGTCTGCTCCACTTAAAAGAACACACTGTGATCAGAGAGGTGCCCAAAAGATGGAGGTAGTTCTTCACGGTCTGCTAGGTTTGTGGGTCTTTTTGCAAGAACATTTGCTACTCATTCCGAGGAATGTCAGTGACAGTTAATATTTCATATGGTGTTGCTGTGGTCCTTGCTAAGACAGATTCTTGAGGTAAAACTTTTGAAGATGGTACCGTCTGCATTGCTGGCCAACCTCTTTCATGGTATGATGTGTGAAAGCATCATATTTTTCAGCCTGGCATTACAACATCTAGGTGCAGAGACTAGAGTTCATGTGTACTGGTATTAACCTGCTTTTCTTTATGCTAATTGAAAGATCTTAGGAGCTTGGTTTGAATTTCTGAGTAACCCTTTGTATTAAAAAAAAAAAAATCTTTATTATTGCTCTAGATAACATGTTTTGTTGATGTGTGATTTTTTCTTTTATAGATGTCCCAATAACATAAATTTGATTTACACTGACAACTGGACTTAATGCCATCAAAGTTATTCTTGATTCCTTCACTCAGATGACTCAGGGCTCATTAACAAGTAGAACAATTAGATTTTCCCTGTAAATAAAAAACATACTTTCTTGCAGTCACTTGGCCAGTTTTGTCTGGATGGACAGTGGGAAAAGAAAATAAGTTCATCATTCCAGAAATATTAAAGGAAAGCCAGGGAGGTGTCTTTCTGACTCCTAATGGAAGGTTGTTTTACCATGTTAATCTACTGATAGGAACGTAAAATAACCAAGAGCGAGCACTTCTATTCATTTAAAATTATTCATTCAGAAGACCTGAAATATCGTAAGCATCATTTATGAACAGAAAATTTATACTATAAAACTTTCTGCAGTATATTTTCTACCAAGGGTTACTAAAATGTGCATAACACTGGTGCAAGATAGAGTCCCTTATTAAATATTCAACTAAGATAGTTAAAGAGGAACTATGATTATATGGGCTTTGCAGTCTTACCTGCCCATATGAAGTATAGTTTACTGCTTTTTTAGAGAGCCAAGCTGATAAAAAACCATTTAAATTAGGATGAAATTAGAGCTTGGTTAAAGTGGCTTATGCATCTGGTAGCTGTGATCTCAACTGTCAAAAACATGTAAGTATGTACGAAAGAGTTTTTACAGCATTCATCATTTACAGAAATTAATTTATATGCTAACATATTATTAATTTATGGAGAATGTCTACAAGAAGAAGTAATTGTAAAAACAAAATTAATGGCACAGTAAAAGAAAAATCTCCTACATTTATAATCAAACCATAAATCAGAGGGCCATGCAGCAAACTGTAAGACAGCAAATCACTCATGAAACACAGCACCTACATATAATACAATGTTTTAAACTCATAAAATCATAGAGACACAGAATATGCTGAATTGAAAGGGACCCAAAAAGATCACTGAGTCCAGCTCCTGGCCCAGGGCAGCACCTTCCCTGAGTCACACCATGTGCCTGAGAGCATTGTTCAAATTGTTCTTGAACTCTGTCAGGCTGTGACCGCTTCTCTGGGGATCCTGTTCCAGTGTCCAACCACCCTCTGGACGAAGAACCTTCTCCTGATAATCCAGCCTAAACCTCCCCTGATCCAGCCATTTCCTTGAGTCCTCTCACTGGTCACAAGAGTGAGGAGGTCATTACCTGCCCCTCTGCTTCTCCTTGTGAGGTCATGTCCCAGAAACAGTTTAAAGGAAGTTTGAATTGTGAATGATGAGCAGCTTTCCCTCTACAGATTTAGCCCATACAAGGGGGAGGAAATTTTGCTTCTAGCTGTAAGTCATATGCACAACTTTTTTTCACTGGCACAAAATTAGTATAGGAAAAGCGAGTGGTACAATGTTCTCTTATTTAATCTGATCTGCATTTGAGTGTGCTTTGGTAAGGCATTAAATTAGCAGGTTCCCAAATGCTCTGAGCTTAGCCCCTGCCTCGTCAGAATATATTGAAATAATGTAATCTTAGTCTACCTCTGCTGAAGTACAAAAAGGAGTTTTAAAAAATATCCAATACTAGCAATTTCTCCTCTGCACACTTTGTAATTTCTGCTTTGGACTCTTTCTTGAGAAATTTTAAGAACCAGAAATGGCTCTTGCTGTTTTGAACAAAATTGTTATTTTGAGTTATCTTTATGTGAAATAAAAAGTCGGAGGAGAAAAAAATTTCTAAAGTCTCAGGAGCCATTTTTTACCTTTTTTCAATCTTTCTATTTAACATGTGTCTTAAGATAGCCATAGTCTTAAAAATTCAGTGTTTTATACAGACAGACTTGTAGGCAAAATATTTGTGCTTTTGTTTTTTAGTGAGAAGTATTTCAATATATTCAGTAAAACTGTTAGTTAAACATATTTGAAGAGAAATATCAATGTGATTTTTAGTCTGAATTATGCATAATTTAAAGAATAATTGGTTTGGCTAACAAAAAGAAAATAAAACTTTATGCTTTTTCCTTACTGGAAAATAGTTTAGCTAGTAATGTAAACTAATATTTGAATATTTCCAAAGTTTATTTCCAAAATTTTTGCTGAAAGACAGTCTTTAACAATAATTATATTTTCTATATGTATATATACATATCTTAAAAATATTTCCTTTCTAAAAGTTGGAGATAAGTCTAATTTTAACTCTTTTCATGAATTTGATGATTCTGCCAATTTTAATATGGAACACAAGCATATTCCTGGAAGAATTTCCACAGTAACTTCAGAGGTTTTTTGGTGACCATTGTAAACAAAGGAAAGATTATCTTTGACTTTAACTAGACTCAGTCCCTTGGGTCATATCATGACCATGCGCTGGTTTATCTTTGTCAGTACACTAATTAATATCCTATTCCTTTTGCCCTTCACCAGGGTTTGTTTGCCTAAGCATGGAAAGTTTTCCAGCATTAAATATCTACTACAGTACAGTTCAAAGCATTTATAATGCTCCTTTAAAAATTAAAAAAAACCAAACAAACCTCAGAGCTCTGAAAAGTTTTAAATTACACGTAAAGAATGCATAATTTTGATGGGTATCACGTTACATGTTCCTTTTATGGTGGTTTTCCTTTCAGTTGAAGTGTGAGTAATTCAGAAGTTCTAGTAATACCAAAAAAGATAGTAACAAATAATAGCTTAATAACTGAAGTTATGACTAGAGTGAAATGAAACAGTGGTAGGATACCTCTTATGTTTTATAAATCACATAGGATCAGAATAATTTTCATAAAGGTAGGCTGAAATATACAGAATTCCAGGTCATGGAGGGAACAAGAAGAAAACATTGTTCAAATTTGCATGATTTAACAAAACATAAAATTAATGTATACCCATGTATATCTAGGCAGTTTTAATAATCAAGACAGGAAGGGAAAATCGTATTTTGGCCAAAATACAAGAATATAAATGCTTACTTTGATTGTATAGTAGCTTCCTCTTCTGTCAAAGTATGGTTTTCTTGAGTGATTACTGAATCATGTCAGTTTTACCCCTGGGCTCCCCTTTTCAAGAGAACTCCAACTGCCAGGAATAACTGATTAAATCTATTCATCCGTCACTCATTTTTATTTGGGAGTGATGACATCTGCTATTATGAATTAGCGTAATGGCAGGGGGAAAAAAACCCCAAACCCACAGTCTCATTTTGTGAAGCCTGCAACACACCACGAGGAATGACCAGACAGTTACAGGGCACAAACTCTGAATGCCACGTTTGATCTGTGCTATAAATTTTGGCAGGTGCCACTGATGTCATAACTTGGCTCCGGAGAAACCGTTACTCAAGTAAGATCCCACAAGTGTGGATCACTGTAGCATAACTTCCATATGACTTGCAAGAATTCAGCACCATCCCCTCCAAGAAAAAGGATAGATCTGAAAAGAACATGTTGAATAGCACATCTTGTCTCACGTTTGTGCTTCTGAGTGACCGACAGATAAACAGATTTCTTTTTCACCTCTTTTGGAGTGTTGGTCTGTAAAAGCACCTGGTAGACTACATGACAGGATACCAGCTAAGCTGTTAATACACTCAATACTGCAGGAATCTGACCAGCTGCAAGCTGAAACATAGCATATATAATTTGCTACAGAACTTAGCACTTCCACTTCTTGGACAGATTATTCCTCCCTCCACTGGTACTCCTGAGGGAAGAGAAAAACACAAGCAAGTAAGGTGCTACTTACCCTGACAAAGGGAGAGCAGATAGTGATACACTTTCTGCTCTCAGCTTTTATTGGCAACATGACTGCACAACCTTTTGGTAGTCTGTCAAGTTCCACCTTGAAGTTAATTATGTTTCTTACTCCAGGTATTTCTAGTGAAAACTTGCTTCAGACTTTTCTGTGCCAAGTACTGTAAGTTTTCTTTTAATGTAAAATCTGAATGTATTCAAGAGACAAGTTACCCTTCTCATGTCTTCAAGCTATGTAGGGCAGAAATCTCTTTCCCTCTCCTTCTTTGTTTTGATATTATAGCATTTAAGGACTTTGGAGTCTTCTCATACTCATTCTATGGATGGAGAGATTGGTATTATGACCCTTTTCTGTGGTCTCATTAAACACAAGCAATGAGAACTGTATGCCACATTCCAGCTGAGTATTAGTCCCTTGTATGCTGCCTTATTTTGTTTGGATGGGACAACTGGAATCTAGAATCACTTTCATCTTTTCCAGAGAAGTACAATGCTCATTACAACTTTCTAATTGATTCATGCACTCATCTAGTTTTCCTCTTATTTTTTGCAACTTACAAGGTTCAACTTACGATAGAAATTTTAATTAGATCTCAAATTCACAAACTGCCTCTTGTGCCATTTTCTCTATTTCAATCCTTCCAGTAATTTATTTCTTTTAATTTTGAAATTCAGTTGCCTATGCTTATGACAACCTTTCTGTTCTCCAGAAAATTTCTTTAACTCACTGCATCATTTTGTGCCAAATGCTGCTGCTCAAAACATTGTTTCTGAGAGAGCTCTGGATGAATTTCTTTTTTAAACTTCTTGCAGTTAGGGAGCTTTCACTAAAAGATGTTAGCTCATTTTAAAAACTTCTAAGTTTAAATAGATACACCCCGGTGAGATCATAAGAAATAAAAGCTGGTTCCTCCATAGGGAAGAGAAGAAGACTAAAGAGGAGGCATGAAGTCCACCTTATCTCCTGACAAAGAGTAATAGGTTATTTATTGTCTGCTGGATGCGGTTAATAGACAGTGAGAAGAGAAGAGAGAAGGAGATTGCAATGTACCACTAAGTATCCTTATAGAACCCAGAATTAGTTCAGATGAACAGCTAAATTAATTTTTTTACTAATCAATCAGTAAAACCTGAGGATTGCTACTGTTAGTGTAGGTGAGCCATGAAATGTAACATGAAGCTGGTAAATTACCATTCCAGGACAGACTGCTCTGACTGATGGCTGATCCTGAACCCTAGACAAGTGCCCAAATTGCTGATGATGGTGTCAGACTCTTACAGTTTCCCATCTTAGAGCTGCTCCTCTTCATATAAATAATGCAGAACTCTGGGCTTGAGAGGCAGTACCAACAGCATGCCTGTTTGATCTCCTGTATGTCTCAGAGGTGCATTTTGCACTTTCCCAGACTATCAAATATATTGCTCACATTTTGTCTACTAGGAATCCTAAGGCACACTTTTTCATGGCAAGCAAGTTATGGAATTTTTTTTGAAAAATCTGAATTTAACTACAGCTCAGACATGAAACAGATATTGAAATCCCGCTTATATTCTTGTGTTGAAACTGCCCAAATTCAGCCTCTCTGAGAGCTCACAAACAGTTCCACTGTGCAATGTCAGTGGTGCCTAGTGGTAAAAAAGCATAAGAAACACTAAGCAGAGGATGAGGATGCAACAAGGCGCACAGAAATAATCAGAGATTTTTCATCATTGTAAATAAAGTGACTGAGACATGGGAAACAAGACTGATCACTGTAGTTTCAGTCTGATACCACGTAGAGATCTGCAGTATAGTCTACTCCAGCCTTCTTGTTGCTCAGAGTCAGTTGAAACAATGTTATGTGATTTTAGAAGTAGCATAGATTTTCTCTATAGACTTGTCAGACAAATCAATATTTTGAGTAAATTATTTCAAGTTTATAAAGCACATAGACACCACTATATGTTTGAAATTTTACAGCCTAACTTGACAGTTTCACCTAAGAATTTGACAAGTCTGCAGTGCAGCTCTCACAGTAAGGCTCTGACAGTCGCTTCTGCTTATTTGTAATGATTTAAATCTATAGGTCTCAGATAATATTGTCTTGCACTGACACAGCCTTTGTTATAAATGACTGTGTTTTGGATGTTGTATTACAATAATTCACTTTGCTACCCTTTCACCACCTTGTATTTTTTTGCCAGTTGGTGCAGACATAGCCATTTATATGGAACTTTCTTTTGCTTTATGTGACCTATTGATACTGTCAGTAAAATGCTTGTTTGCATTAGGTAACCAAAACTTATCCTTCATTAAAAGGAAGAGAATTAATTTGTTAAAGTCCATGAAGATTTCAGTGGGCACTTAACTACAGTGATGTCCATATAGTCTAACACTCTACAAGACATGTATTTCTTTCTCCCTGTTTTGCTTGGTCATATACACTTAACTACCAGAAAAGGAGGTGTCCTAGTCTCAGATTTTTTTGACTTCCATTTCCTTATCAGGACAGTTTGTATTTTGTCTATTGCACATTATTTTCAAGAATGAGGGGAAGCAGACATCAAAAGAAATGAAGGTTAAATTGTGCTATGGCAATAGATTCCTGATTTTCACTGACGTAAAGCTACTGCTAGCTTGCAGATCCTGTAGCACATGATGTAGGCTCCCTTGTGGAAGGGCTCCGTAACTGATTCAAGGTGCATGAAACTGGACAAAGTGGGAGGTCATGATGAAGTGTAGATGGTACTGCAGTTTTTGTAGGCTCTGGGCAAGAGTTCTTCCTGTGTTATGAACTGGCTTAACACAGAAGGTTTAAGACAGAAGACTAAAGAAAGCTAAGCCTCTGTGAATGAAATGGATTAGACCCAGAAAAGCTTGAAATATACTTGAAAAATGTGGCTAAAATCAAACGAGGTTAGATGTTGCTGCAAAAAAAAAATTACAAGTTTTATTTAATAGTAAAAGAGGCAAAGAGAAAGAAAAAGAAGACAGAAACAGAGAAATAAGGGAGAATGAGGGGCTGGTGGGACAGGGAAAGGGTGACAGGGGTTAGGTAGAAACCCTTCAGAGGGTCCCAATGACTTCTCGTTGCTCCCCTCCATCCGGCTCCCCTGCGGCTGCCGTGCCACCACGCCCCGCTGGGATGTATGGAATCCCGTGGATGACTGTCCCTGTGGGCAGGTGGGGACGCCCAGGTGCCTCCCTTGCAGGGACCCAGCCTGGCCCCGTCCCTTGCAGCACTGCGGGTCTGTCGCACCGCGCTGCCGTGCCCCGGAGCGGGGCCGGGACCCCTCGGGGATCCTGCGGCAGGCCGTGGCTCCCCCGTGTCCTTCGTGCGGCTGCAGCTCCTCCGGGGCGAAGGGGCCCCTCAGCTGAGCCCTCTGCACAGCCAGGATGGGGGCACTGCCTCTCTCCAGAGGCCTTTTCCCCACAGCCCGAGGCCTCTCCCCCTCGGTGTGAGGCCGGCGCGGGCCTGGCAGCTGAAAGCCCTGGGGCTGCGGTCTGCCCTCCCAAGGTGCTGAGCTTGTGCGCTGTGAATTTACTCTTCTCCCCCAGCCCGGAGCTGTTACTTTATTTATCTTCATCAGTGAGCGGTGTAGGGCCTCAGTCAGGGCTCCATTTAGGGTGGGGGGTCTTCTCTGCAGCTTTTGTAACACAGTTTTGCTATAATAGGAAAAAGTCCTTCATGAAGATGTTTAAGTCATAAACTATAATATTTTCGTATTTAATGTACTGTCTCAATATTTTTCTTCTATCTTTACTACTCAGCAAATGCAGCCACCAATTACACATTCAGGAAATTTCTGTAGTGGTCACTTGCTGAATCTTGTCTTCCACACTTTCATCTGTGCTGTGCTTTTTTTTTTTTTGCCTTTAGTTGTCCTACGTTAACCTGAAGGGTCAAGCTTCTTTAAGCTTGAAAATCAGGATGATCTTCAACTAGACAGAAAAACAACCCACAAGAGTTTAAGGGTTCTTATTAGACATTGTCTAGGGACAATGCTGCTAATGGTAGGGTTTATTTGAATGCTCTCTGTCTGCACCAGATAGGGAGACGTGGTATGAATAATTTGTGGGATAACATGCCAGAAACACTGAAAAGGTAGGGGGTGTCAAGGTGAAAGCACTGCAGCTGGCCCTGTGAGTGATATCACTAAGCTCATGTAAACAGACATCATGCTAGAAGACGTGATATTATTTCACCTGTATCACTTCAAGCTGGTAAGTATTTCTCTCTAATGAAGTCAGTTGTATTATGTCACAGGTCCTATATTACATCACATTTCCTACAG